AGGGAGCGGCCGTCGTGGCCACGGCGCCTGCGGGCAGAGCTGCTGCAGGGCAGCAAAGCAAATGAGCTCCGGCTTTTCCCCCTCGCGGGGTTTTTGGGGTCCTGAGCAGGGTCTCACGGGGAGGCAGAGGAGGGTTACAGGACTGAGGACTTGCCAGCGGCGGCAGGCGATGCATCCCTGTCTCCGGCAGCCCCGAGGTGGAGTGCAGGAGCACGCGCTTTGCCATGCTGAAGGAGCACCGGGCGGTGACGGGGGACGTGACCGCGTTCGATGGCTCCATCCTCTACCTGCCCATCCTGCTCCCCCAGGTAAGGGGCGATGTGATCCCCACCAGGGTGAGGTTGTTCCAGCCAATTTGGGGGCGCAGGGCCCCCCCCCCCCCGCGGGTCTCCAGTCAATGTGCTGGGGAGGAGAGCATCCCTCCTGCCCCGGGTAACGCGCCGTCTCGCCCCGCAGCCGGTCAGTCTGAAGGCTCAGAGGAGGAGCAACTGGGAGGAGATCACCATCACCATCCAGATCACCAAGGTCCTCGAGCCCAGCTCGGATCTCTGCATCCCCTTTTACAACGTGGTTTTCCGGAGGTGAGGGACGGCAGAGACCCTCCCCGAGCCCTGGGGAGGAGACCCTCCTCCTCCTCCTCCTCCTCCTCCTCCTCCCTCCGAGCCTGAGCCCATCCTGCTTTTATTTTTCTTTCCTAGGGTGATGAGAATCTTAGATATGAAGCTTGTTGGGAGAAATTTCTTTGAACCTGCCCAGGCCACCATATTACAGCATTACAGGTGGGTGCTGGACGCGGTTTCCTCCTGCTGCTGCCCAAGCGCGTGAGTGCGGGATGGGGACGTCCCTGTCCCCCCGGCAGTAGCGCGAGGCTGGAAATTGGGAAGTCTTTGCCAGGTCAGTTCTCTTGGCCGGCTCCGGTTAGCCTGACCTCGGAGCGCCTGTTTTTCTGCAGTGCAATTCAGGGGTTATTAGCTGAAAGCTGGCAGCCAGCTGGGAAATAAATCCCCGTGTGTTTTGAGCGCTCCTTGGTGAGCGGGACGGCTGCCCGGCTCCTCTGGCAGCGCCGTGCAAGCGGCTCCGGTTTTAACCCAAACACCGCCGGGCATCTTCTCCTCCGGGCACAGGCTGCAGATTTGGCCGGGATACTCTGTCAGCATCCGGAAGAAGGACGGCGGCCTCTTCCTCTTGGTGCACGCCATCCACAAAGTCGTCCGCAGCGACTCCGTCCTGAATTTCATGTAAGAGAAGGGAAAAAGCCTGGAGGAGCCCTGCGGGGCTTTAGGGGTGAGGGTGGTTTTCCAGCAGTCGCGTGCCCGGGGCTGGCTCTCGGCGAGGGCAGTGCCAGCCGTGATCGCTGGGCCCGCAGCCGCCGGTGCTGTTCGGCAAAAGGCATTTTATTTTTGGGGTGGCGCGGGCAGGGAGCGTCGCCGTGAGCCTCTCCTCCTCCCTCTCTCCCCACCGCAGGCACACCATCTACAAGCAAAGCCTCAGCAGCTTCCAGGACGAGTGCACCAAGCAGCTGGTGGGCAACGTGGTCATCACCCGCTACAACAACCGCACCTACCGCATCGACGACATCGACTGGAACAAGACCCCGAGGGACAGTTTCACCCTGGCCAGCGGCGAGGAGATCACCTTCGTGGACTACTACAGGTAGGAACCTGCTGGAGCATCCCTTGGGATGAACGTCTGTCCGTGGGGAAGGGCTTGATGCCTGGGTCTGGCCCGAGGTGGGTGAGCAGGAGCAGGAACATCTCGCCTGATGCCATCTCCCTGCCGTTTTTCCAGCAAAGTCTACGGGATCACCATCAGGGAGCTGGACCAGCCGTTGCTCGTCCACAGGCCCAGGGAAAAACAGACGCCGGAGGGGAAGGTGAGCCAGGCACGGAGACGTGGGATGGGGAAATTGAGACCCACGGTCTTTTCTCGGCTCCTGCAGCCCTTGTCCTGCCCGTTGCTGGGGGGGCCGGGGCCTGCAGCCCCCCCAGGGGTGG